AGTCAGACACAACTGAAATGACTGAACATCAAAACCTCAAGCAAAATCTGGAGGAGATTCCTGTATATACTTACAGATAGGTACATATTGTATCCCCCAATAGAATATAAGCTTCTTGAAAGGAGAGTTTGCCTCATTTTTTTTTGGGGGGGGAGGTTTGTGTCCTCAGGGTTAACATAGTCCCTGGCCTGTAGTAGGTTTAATAAATGCTTGTTGATTGATTGATTGATTCTTGTCCAGGTATGAGTTGGACCAGATGACCTCTGAGGCCCTTTTCAATTCTGACTTTTCTGTGACAAATCTTGTTACTGAAAAGACCATTATAAAGGAAGATTCCATATCAACCCAAAGTTACAATCATTTCCTTATATAATTACACTACATTTTCTTGTCTAGCAAATGTTTTCTCTGGTTCTCATCCATGTAACAATACCTGACTTTCCTATGATTTGCCCAACAGGAAGGAAGAAGAGAGGAAAGCAAATCTGAACTGAGCTCTTTGTAATTCTACTATTCTACCACCAAGAAACAATTACCCTTCACCCCTTTTATCCCACTTTAAATATCCTATCCATTCCCTCCAGATAACCTGAACTCCTAAGCTGCCCATCAAACCACCCCAACCCAAGAGAAAGAAAGGGGTGTGGTATGTACTTGACACTGTCTATTTTCTACTAGCAGTTCAAAAGACTTCTCACTTACTAATTCAACAAAGGGCAGCTACACATTTGTTTTGTTTTCTCACCCGCTGCCAACAGGTAAGGGAAGGTGCTTGGTAGCAATATATTCATTATAAGAAAATTCCACTACAACAAAAAACCTTAGCAGACAAATACACCACTTAAGAATGGCTGTAAAGATAAAAATGAGACCTAAATGTGACAGCTCATTGAGATGGAAAGTTCCCAAGGCTGCTAGTGATGCAAGGTATTATTATTTTCAGGTTGTGGCTTTGTCTGAGGGCTTATATGTCTCTACACTGTTCTAAGGCATAGGACAACTCCTGTAGAACATTTGGTCAGGCAGGAGTGGTGTGGTAATCCTCTTCTAAGCTATTACTGCTACTGTCAGGAATGTTGACATGTTGCTCCAGAGGAACAAAAGAATCTTTCTAGGATTAAAGGAATCGTATGGGACAAGCTTTGGGATTTTAATAGTGAATTTGTAACTAGTGAGAGGTGGCCAGGAGATCAAAGCTCTGTTTTGCCTTGAGGAGAGGGATAGTATAGGTAAATAGCCCAAATTCCCAAGTGTGCTCCTTCATCCTACCTCCTTGCTTCCCTACTAGCACCAAAAGAGTATTTTGGTGCTGTCTTGGGAAGTAGAAGTCAAAAAACTCAGAATATTCGAGTTGGAATTGGAGCCCTTAGAGATCAAGTGCAACCCCCTTGTTTTATAGAGGCAATAAACTGGAGCCCAGACAGTAGAGGCCTTTACTCCAAGTCCCACAGCTAATTATTAACTGAGCTGTAACCTAAGTCCAGAAGGTCAAACAGTAGTATATCCTCCATGTATAATATCTCTTAATGATTTGGTCGTATCCAGTAAAGCTGCCGTTTGTAGTAATGGTCATGAGAGGTCCTCATCCCACACCCCTAACCCCCAGGGCTGAGGTTTTTTTTAACGAATTTTGCACAAGCACCTGTAGAGCTAGAAATATTTATTTGCTGCCTCAGTTTCCTTCTCTCTAAGCAAAGGGGTAAGACTAGGTTATCTCAAAGTTCCCTTCTAGCTCTGACATTCCATATTCTATGCTTAAACAGTCTATGTTCTGAAGTCCCTTCCAGCTCTGACATGCTCAGCTCCAATGTTATGTCCCAATCATGTTTCTATTCAATTGTCTTGACATTAATTCTAGATTTACTGAGCGCTTTCCTCACAAAAAACCTGTGAGGTGGCCATTGCCAGTATTATTATCCTCATTTTATACATGAGGAAACTGACACTGAGAGAAAGCGACTTGCTCATGCCCACACAGCCCTGAAGGGTCAGAACCAAGATTCAAACCCAAGTCTCTCCTGTCTCCAAGATCAGGCCTCTTGCCAATATACTATGTCAACAACCCTCTGAGGAAGGCAGGGAAAATAATATCCTAATTTGAAAGTGGGGTGGTGATGATGATGATGATATGCAGCATTTATAAAGGACTTTAATTAAACTTTACAAAACACTTTACATACTTTAATTTTATCCACATGATAATGATGTGAGGTAGATAGATACATGAATTGATCCTTGAAGGAATATTCTTTGAAGTAGAGGTGAGGAGAAAGTATATTCTGGGCACAGAGATAGGTTGGAGAAAGGTATGGAGGTAGAAGACAGAATCCCAAGCTCAGGAAACAGCTAATAGGTCAATGTGACTGGAACTTATAGTGCATGAATGGCAATAATTTGAAAAGTACCTGGAAATATAGGCTGGAGCCACAATCTGAAGGACTTTAACCACCAGGCAGGGTAAATCGTTTCTAATTTATCCTAGAGAAAACAGGGAGCCGCTAAAGAAGCTTGAACAAGAGAGTGACATGATCTAATCTGTATTTTAAGAAGATTGGGGGAGGGAACATCTGTGGGGAGGATAGATTGAGAGGGTGTTGACTGGAAGCAAGGAGACCAATTATGATATTTTCAATAATCTACCTGAGAAGTGATGTGGCCTGTACTATGCTGATGGTTGAATTATGGAGGAAAGTGATGAGAGATTTTGAGGAAGTCAAATAGACATGACTTGGAGATTGATTGGCTGTGGGGCTGAGGGAAAGAATAACTCTGAGGCCACAAACTTGAGACCAGAAGGATGGTAGTACCATCAACAGAAACAGGGAAGTTTGGAGAAGGAATGGGTTTAGGGAGGAAGATAATGAATTAATTTTGTATATGTTGAGTTTTAGATTCCTATGAAATATCCAGGTGGAAAAGTACAGCAGGTAGTTTGTAATGGATATTAGAATTTAGGAGAAATATCAAAGCTGGATATGTGGGGTTTTTAGTCATCTGCATATAGATAATCATTAAACCTGTCAGAACTGCTAAAACCAAGAGAGAGAAGATGGGCCACGCCAGAGTTTTGTGGAGTGCCAAATATGTATGTATCTGTCTTCATGATGGGAAAAGGGATGATGATCCAGCAAAGGTTAGGGTTAGACTGAGAAGGAATGGACAAACAGGTTGGGGGAGAACCAGGAGAGAGCAATGTCATGAAAATCAAGGAAGGAGAGACTTTACAGGTTGGGGGTGGGTATGAATTACCAAAGTCAGAAGCTTCAGAAAGGAAAACAAATTTTGAGTATTGAGAAAAGCCCATTTCATTTAGCAATTAAGAAATCATTGGTCTATGTGACCCTGCAAGTCACTTAACCATGATTGCCTCCAAAAAAAGAGAGAGAGAGAGAGAGAGAGAGAGAGAGAGAGAGAGAGAGAGAGAGAGAGAGAGAGAAAAGAAAAGAAAGAAAGAAAAGAAATCATTGGTAACCTTAGAGAGTGCATTTTCAGTTGACTGGTAGAGTCAGAAACCAGTCTGCAAGGGATTGAGGGGAGATACACACACACACACACACACACACACACACACACACACAAACACAAACTTATACATCTATAGTGTGGGTAAATCCTCAGCTCTCCAGAAAACTCAGCTATCTGAAACCATGAAATAATTTTTTTCTAAAGAGCTAATGTTTTGCAGTAGTTATATAGCAAATTAGTCAGCCTGGGTGATTTTGCCCTAACTTTGCCATTGCAGACACAAAATTGCATACACTGAAATCAGCTCTGAATGTCTGGCAAAAGCCTTCCATTAATGCCTTTTGGGGCATAGTGAAGTTCCAAAGCACTTCAGCAATGACATACCCAGCACTGGTTTGGCTACAGACCCTATTTAGCAGAGGAATAAGAACTGAGATCACCCAGCCAAAGTGCAGTGGATACTAAACTGGTCCTAGAAGCACAATTTCCTTCAGAAACAGCCCTGGTTCTTTGTAGGTTGGAAAATGGAACCTCATCTTGTCAATATGTGATCCTTCTTTAAAAAGTGAGCTCTGAATTTTTTCCCCCAATCTTTTAATCCCCCTCTCTCCCCACACCCTCCATCTCACAAATAACAACATAATGTCTTTACTCAGGTCACAGTGCTCTGGGCCGATGTGGCACCTGTGGCTAATTATGTGAGAATGAACAAAAGTTCATTAGGCATATGGCTCTCAATTTGGAATCTGTCTATAAATTCAACAATAGAATTGATTGACTTTGAGAAAATAAAGCCTGGGGGGTGTGGGTAGGGGAGGTAAGGAGAGGTTAGAAAGGAGAGGGGCCACTGATAAAGTGGACTGCACTTCTAACACTGAGTTTTAGCTCTTTATTTCTCACAAGTGTTGAGTGTTGAATCTAATATTCATTTTGAGATTCAAATTAGGGTCATTGACTCCAAGCTTCCGGCAGCATTCTGCATTATCAAGATTGAAGTGCCCAGGGTTGTGGGCGATGCCAACTGAATGATGAGATTTCTATCTTCCCTTTCATTTGAGTGACAGTCAGCAGATTTGCTGCGAAGCCCAGACAAGCAGTCACCAAGTTATAGTTGTGTTGTTTTCCTCAGGACCCGGAGCTGATTGGAAGGAGGAAGCTGCAGACAGACAGACAGTTCTGAGCCTGGCCTCCCCTCTGGGAGGGGTTCTCGAATGGGATCTGTCTGGGGTGTGAGTGGCAAGGGGGTTGGCCAGACTTGTAGTAAGGGTATACATACTGCACCATTTCCTGATTCAGTGCGCTCCAGTCTGTTGCAGGCTGCGTGCAGTGGGGGGGGGGGGGCCAGAGCTGATCAGTGTGTAATTTTATACATTACTGAATCAGTGCAGGAGAAACCTAGAGGGACGCGACACCATCTCCTCTTTGGGCTGCATTGTCAGATCTCTCCAGCCCTCACCTCCAAGCCATGCTCTGAAGAAGGAAGACGCTCTCTCCTCCTTCTCTCATCTTGGTAGGAGTGAGAAAGTCATCTCACCATGGCTCTGCTCATAGAGCCTATTAGCAAGTGGCTGCCTAAGCAAGTGGCGGATTGGCTGAAAGGTACGACCGTTCTCTCCACATATTGTCTTTCTGTGTGTTTTGCTGCCCGAGTGCAATGTGCTGCTGGGCTTCCATGGGGTGGGTGGCTTGTTTTCGGGCACTAGTTAGTTCAGTTGGAACTGACACCAACCCCATATGCTGTTTCAGCTGGTGATTCCTCCCCAACCTAAGTGACTGAATCGAGGCATCTCACGGCTGGCTGAGAGAGAAAGCATGCTGCTGGGAGCCTTTGGGGAAGGGGGCTGAGGGGGCATGGAACGCTTTGGGGTTCAGACGCAGGCACGCCTCTCCAATGTGCCTGTCTGAACACTTCCCTCTTTGCTGCACGAACATCCCTGTCTATCCCCCGTCTGCTTGGCTTCTAGTACCTCTTGACGAGCTCCAGCTCGGCAGCCCCTTAAATCAGGTGATGCGATGCAGTGGTCGTGCATGTCTGCAGGACTTGTGCCGAGTTTTAGGGCAGGATCCTGAGAATGCTGAGGGACTCGCTGCCCGCAATCGGGGCATCTGACTCATGGGAAATGCCATGGGAATGCTCGATTCCCTGGCCTTTCTCTCTGTGTGTCTCTGTCTCTCTCTCTCTCTGTGTCTCTCTGAGTCTCTCTCTGTCCCTCTTCCTCCCTCGCCCCAGAGTTTGCGTGGCTCGGTTTTGAAAACGCGTATATTTCGGTAGCGATCTTTAGTACCGTGGACAGTGCAGTCTTTACCATATTAGGGGAGTGCTCTACAGAGCCAAGCCAAGGGGCAGTCAGTCTGTGCTCGTAGAACATCTTCACTGGGGAAACTCCTTAAGACAACTTAACGGGCGCCGTGACTTAGCTATACCTTGTAGTTTCCTACACGTAGGCAGGAAAAGAGAAAGTGTTCCCTTTGGCTGTCTGGCTGGGTGCACCTTACCTACCAAACGGTTAGAAAAGGGTGAAAGTCGCTGTTAGACTCCTCAGAATCACAACGCAGTGTTTTCAAATGGAGAAATAAAGACCTTGAGAGCAATCTACTTTCTTGGCATGTTTAAAAATTGTTTCTATTGAAGCGCGCCGTATATCCCGTCTCTTTTCTGCTATAGAAAGCTGGAGGAGTGGGGAGGAAGAAGAGCGGGTGAGAAGAATCTGTTTGGAGGAGAAGGCCCCAAGTGGAAATTTTTACATGCATGTTAGCCTGAGATGTGTCAAAAGCCACCTGCCCTCTGAGGCAGTTTGCAGGCTCTGCAGGACTGTGACTTTCCAGTCTTCAGGAAAGCCATCAGAGCCAGTCATCCTATCTAAGGTGTACTTCAGTGCCCTGAAATATGACTGCAAGGCATGGGTCATAGCAAGCTCCCCGCTCTCCCAGCTTGTACCCTTCTATCTCTAATCCTGGCTTCTGGGAACTGAACAAGGTTGGGGGGGGGGAGCTGGTTTCCTTAGCCTTTTTAGCTGTCAAATCACTGTAGTGATTTGCAGGGCTGGTTATTCTCAGCACTTCCTGAATATTAGGTACCTGGGTTTGCAGACGCAGAAAGTGAAACCCATCCTGCACCACCAGAAGAGAAGCCCCCCCCCTCAATTTGGCAGCGTTTGTTGTATTCTCCTAACTGCAGGGCCGTGGGGGGAGGGGGGAAGAAAGGAAAAATGGAGGATTATTGCAGACGAATGTAAATGGTGAGTCATAACCTAGAGTAATAATAATGTGATATACGACTGGTGAATTAAATCATACTTGTTGCTATATTGCCAAACCTGTACTGACACCTCTAGAGCTGACGCCATGAAATCCTCAGTGACGGATGAAATGAAACCCTAGGTAACAGATTTGTCTAGATTGGGGGATTTGCCCAACTTGCTCTCTCTCACTTGGTTTGCCCATTGAAAAAGGACAACTGGGCTGTGGTTTTTCCATAAAGAATTTCATTATTATGTTCTTCAGTCTCCCCTCACCACCCCAATCTTTTAGGATTCATAGGAACTGCTTTAGGGAACCTCACCTTCAGGGTTTCAGCATATCAGCTGCATATCACCTATTACATAAAAGTCTCAGGCAGCCTCCCAGCACTGCCTAACAAGTTTGTAAATGTGGGTTAAAGCAGAAATAAACTATCCATGTTTTAGCTATTCTAAGATGGATATGTGATTTTTGTTAGCACTCTGATTGCCTTGGGTGTATCAGTATTCCAAGCACCCCTGGCTACACCCTCTGGCTCCTAAATGGCACTAATATGTATTTTGAAATAGTGCTTCCAGGGTACATCTGCAGCTCTGAGAGACGCACCTCAAAGCCTCAGTAGCGACAGTATGCCTTTGCTCCTCACTTAACAGAAGGACAATTAGTTCAGAACTAACTTTGCTGTCATCTCCCTGATTAGCGCCACTTTACTGCCTGATTTTACTTGGCAGATGGTCGTTTCACTACTAATCAGGATGAAGCGCCCTATTCCAATGATACCTACTGTCTCTGTAGGAATCACTGTGGGATAACCCACTCAGAAGGATTTACCTTGCAAATAGATTCCCAAGCCTGACAAGGCACCCCAGCACATTATAGTGTGACCCAGCCTGGCTGTTCCTCCTTGTTTAAATGGATTTATTTCAGAGCTGTGGCTATGCCGTGAAAAGTCAGCATTTCCTCGAGTGACCTAGATATAGACCATGAAATGTTCTGCTGTCTGCTTCCAAAATTGGGTCCTCCCTCAGGTTTAAGGCCATTGAACCTTGGCACTCAGTCAGAAACCTGCTTTTTACAACCAGGTCGATCTGGCACAGACAACTGTGTGGATTTTGCTTTGGTTTGTTTTGCTTTTTCCCCCCTCTCCCTCTTCCTTCATAAGGATAGTGTAGGAACAAGAGTATGGAGATTAATTAAGGGGTTGCAGAGCATTTGACTAGACTGTCTCAGCTACATATATCCTTGTGTTGGTACTGAAATAAGGAGTCTAGCAGAAGAGCCTTCCCTCCTTTCTTCCCCCCTCCCCTTTGCCCAGGGAGAGCTAGAGCTAGAGCTAGAAAGATCTCTCAAGATCCAGAAATTTGATTCCTTGATGCCGATCATCAGGTTGTTGCTAGGGATTTATTTAACACCTACTGTGTGTCCAGCATATGCCAAGGGGAAAAAAAATTGAAGCCTTGTTCTTGTGTTATACCCAGTAGTGAATTAATTAAGTAAAAGCCACAGTTAAAAGGTGCATTTCTTTCCCAGCAGCATATATTATGTGTGGTCAAGAAAATGTTTACATGCTGATTTCATTTGCCTCTTTTAAAAGAAATGCAGTTAATAAGCAATGTCCAGGCTGTTTTCCCCTTAATCATAGCCATTTGCTATTGGAGACTGACAGTAAAATGGAAAGAATACTGGACTCACTAAGGAGACATGGTGGCTTCAAGTCCTGTTATTTACTACCTGTGTGGCCTTGAACAAGTCACATCACTTATTCTTCAAAGATCAGTTTCCTCATCTGTCAAATAGTAATGATAATCCTTGCCCTGCCTCCCTAATAGGATTGTGAGGATCAGATGAAATCAGAAATGTGAAAGTGCTTTGTAAATTGTGAATTTGAATGTGGGATTTTTCCAAACCTATTGCTTCACTTATCACTCCTGCTAGCTTGTCTTATGCAGTTTTTATTAGCTTTGTCTCCCAAGGATAAGGAGATCAAATTCAGCTCGTTCTATTTAGCTGTTTGCTGATCCTTATGGGCAAAGATTTGGTAGTGGAGGAGGAGGTTGAAATACAATGATTTGGCTTTTCCTCAGGGTTTCAGTTGTCTGTTCTCTTACCATATCATATGTAGGGAAGCACATTGGCAAGGGAGAAAGAGCCTTTGATTTGGAGTCAAAGGATCTACATGCAAAAGCTGGTTTGCTATTTACAACCTATGTGACCTTGTTTGAGTTACTTTATCCTCTTTGGGTCTATCTTCCTCTGTAAAATGGAAGAGGGTAGACTAGATGATTTCCAAGGGTCCTTCCAGCTCTAAATCTACAGTCCCTGTATCCTAGTACCAATGCTAAGTATGAGGCTGACAGGACCTAGTCATAACCAGCTGCACCAAAGGATGCAGCAATATTCTTTATCCTTTTTTTTATGATAATGACTCCTTAGCTAGAATGGCAATTTATTCATGTACCAAGATGTACCAAGAAAAGCTGAAGGTTTGAGAACATTGATTCAGTCTAATAATCCTTTTAAGTGGCAAAAGACCTGAGTTCAAATCTTGCCTACTCCTCACTTTGCTACTTGTGTAAACTTGGCGAGTGATAATCTTCTAGTCTCAGATTTTTCCATGAATGGGGTTGATAATCCTCACATCCCCTACCTCACAGAATGGTTGTGAGGGAAGCACTCTGTAAACTGTAAAGTGCAATAGAAATGAGAGCCACTATTGTATTCAATGATAATAGCAGATTCTGATTCTATCTAACCAGCAACCTAGGGTTTTCACCAGTAAGGGGATGGGGATGAAGAAGGCTGATCAGCATCTAAGAATGCTTAAAAGAATACAAAGAAGATCAGACCTCTGTTACAACCAATAAATGGATAATATTTTACCTTCTACAAATATTTAGTATTTACTGTGTTCAGAATGCCATATAATAAACAAGGACTAAGCAGCACAGAGTCCTTGCCTTTGAGAGATCTCATAGTCTAATAGGGAGATGCTAGTAGTGTCTGGAGCAGCTAGGTGGCGCTACAGTGGATAGAATACCAGGCCTTGAGTCAGGAAGACTGAGTTCAGATCTGGCCTCAGACACTCACTAGCTGTGTGATCTTGGGCAAGTCACTTATTCCTGTTTGCTTCAGTTCCCTTATTTGGACAATGATCCTGGAGAAGAAAATGACAAACCACTCCAGTACCTTTACCAAGAAAACCCCAAATGGGGTCATGAGGAATTGAACATGACTGAAACGAGTGAACAATAATGTCTACTCTAATTATTTAAATGTTTCGTTTACCTATGTTTAATTCCACTTCGAATATATCTACCATTATCTAGGGTTACAAATAGAATGGAAGTGTCTCCCTAGGT